GTTCACTCCAAAACCCTACCCATTCCCATGAAGAGACAAACAGAACCATCTATAAAAAGCTGAGGGCTGGAGGCCAGCCACATTGGAGGATCAACTGTACACAGGAGTAAGACAGCCCCATCAGAGGGACACGTGACACAAGCACAGAGGGTTCGTGTGTGCCTACACCGAGGCACTCACCACAATGTCCTCTGGTATCAACTTTCTCAAACACACAGAAGAATGTGTTGAGAACAAGGCAGCAAACACCCATGAACACACCATCGGCCTTAGCTGCCACTCTCATCCCCGCCCCTCCTGCCCACGCACCTGGGCACACGGCACGAAGCAACATGCATCTTTTACTCAGTGGAACATACCCTAGTGGGTTCTGTTATGTTGTAATCCATTCCATATTTTATAACATGCTGGCTGTGACCCATCTCTGACAGTTAATTCTATGTGTCAACTTGACCAGGCCCCAAGATGCTCAGATGCCTAGTTAAACCATATTTCTGGGTGCATGCATGAGGAAGAGATTAGCACTTGGATTGGTGGATAGAGAGTCAGTCTCCCTCCCCAATGTGTGTGGGCATCATCCAATCCTTTGAGGGCCTGAACAGAACAAAAAGGCAGAGGAAGGTTAAATTCATTCTCTGCCTGATTGCTGAGCCGGGACATGGATCTTCCCCTGTCCCCAGCACTCTTAGTATTCAGGTCTTCAGACCTGGACTGGATCTACACCGTCAGCTCTCTGGCTCTCAGGCCTTTGCAGCACACACTCACTGGCTTTGCAGATGGCATGTCATGGGACTTCTCAGCCTCCATAGTCATGTTAGCCAATACTTTATAATACATCTCTCAATAAGATAGATAGATAGAGAGATAGAGAGATAGAGAGATAGAGAGATAGAGAGATAGAGAGATAGAGAGATAGAGATAGATAGATAGATAGATAGATAGATAGATAGATAGATAGATAGATAGATAGATAGATGGATGATAGATCCCAAGATGAATAGACTCTTTTGGTTCTGTTTCTCTGGAGAACACTGGCTAACACACCACTGAATCTATTTTATAGCCTGCTAAGGCATATCTATCTATCTATCTATCTATCTATCTATCTATCTATACATATAGCCATGAATGGAATTGCTGGGTCTTGGGAGATCCACATTTCAACCTTAGTAGATACTGCCTAGTCATTCTCCAAAGGGATATTACCAATTTGTCCTTGATACATAGGGCATGAAAGGCTCCCTTGTCCCATACTCTTGCCAACACTTGGTTCATCAGACTTTCTAATTTGCCAGTGTGTGAATATGAAATGGTAGCTCACTGCATAACTGGCGGGTCCCTGGAGTGAGGCAGCATTCATTTGTCTATTAGCCATTTGGGTTTTCTTCTTCTTCCTATTATTTGCCCTTTTTTCAATTCTGTCGTCTTTTATTGATTTGAAAGCATTCTTCATACAGACAGAATACTAATCTCTTATAGTAAACTCACCATGAATATTTATTCCAGTTTGTAGTTCTCTTAAAGAAGTTGCAAATGCTGATATTTAATTAATCGATCTGTTCTTTTATGATGGGTATATGTGTGAGTATCTTATCTTTTCCTACCTCTAAGGCAAATCGAAAATATCTTATATATTATATATTTTTTTTTTTTTTTTTTTTTTTTTTTTGAGACAGAGTCTCACTTTGTTGCCCAGGCTAGAGTGAGTGTCATGGCGTCAGCCTAGCTCACAGCAATCTCAAACTCCTGGGTTCAAGCAATCCTGCTGCCTCAGCCTCCCAAGTAGCTGGGACTACAGGCATGCCCACTATTGCCCGTAATATTTTTTCTATATATATTAGTTGGCCAATTAATTTTCTTTCTATTTATAGTAGAGACGGGGTCTCACTCTTGCTCAGGCTGGTTTTGAACTCCTGACCATGAGCAATCTGCCCGCCTCGGCCTCCCAGAGTGCTAGGATTACAGGCGTGAGCCACCGTGCCCGGCCTCTTCTATATATTTTAACATTTTTTTCTTTGCAAGTAGGCCTTTAATCCTATGTGCATGTGCTTGTATGTATGCTGTGCAGGAGGGATCTCACTTTATCTTTTCCTACGTGGGCAACCAGGAGTCTTGCAGCATTTCTGCCCACCCCGGTCAGTAAGTCTCCACTGCCTCCTGGATTCCTGTGCATGTGAGAGCTTATTACTAGGTTCCACCCTGTGCCACCCAGTCCTCTGTCTCTCCCTCCATAGACATCACAGTCTTAACCGTCACAGTCCTCCCGCAGGAACCTCGCTGCCCTGGTCTCGTGTCATCCTCCCCTAGTGCTCTGGCTGTGCCTTTTCTCTCATTGTCTGGCAGCTGGGAATTTCTGTGCCTTTCCTTAGATTCTGTAAAAACATTCTTGGCCATATTTTACACAGCATTTATTTATTAAATATATGTGTCTGTACTGGGACAAGAACAGGCTGACAGCACATTAGCCAGCCATTTTTGTGAATGAAACATCTTCTCATTTAATATATGTTCTGAGACTTGCCATGACTTAAATACAGCTTATTAATCTTTCCACTGTTCCTTTGGGGTAATCACTGAATTTACATCTTTCACTATTTACACATTTTACAGATCAAGGGCCTATAGGATAAATGTCATAGGATAGTGAGGCCTAGAATTTGATTCTCCAAGAAAAAAAAAAAAAATAGAAAAGATTCCCCAACTTTTCCTGTAAGTGGAAGCACATTCACCAAGCTATTCTGTGAAAAGACATCCAGCACACTGTGGGTATCAGTATTCTGGAGATACAGAATGGTTCCATTTGCAGTAGAAAAATAAATAAACCCAAGCCTGTTCTTCTCTTTACAGATCTCCTCACAGAGATTCATTCTGGCATAATTGGCATTTAAAAATATCCATCTTGTTGCTGCTTTTCTCTCCAAGAAGGAATATGCTGTCCTGCAGGGAAGCTGCAGAGAATTGTGATGAGTATATTCACTTAAATGATGGCCTATTACACAGCAGATGAGGGAGAGCGATCGGGAAGAGAGCCCAGCACCTTGTCTATTGCAATTGATTTTGATACTCTAATAGGATTTCAAGATACATAAAAATTCCAGTAGGTCTTTTCTGGGCTCAGAAGAGAAAATATCGTATACTTTAAAGCATAAATACAACTGCCCCATAACTCCATCAGAATGCAATGACACCCCAAGTTCCTTAAGGAAAATGTCAAGAAACCAATTTCACTGTGGATGGTCCCTAGAGGTGGCTGCTTGATCCTGGGCTCCCAGAAGTCAGAGAATTTCACTAATTTGTGAGATTGCTCCCTCCACAAGCTGCCCTTACTGCAGGATACAAACCAAATCTCCTCCCTTTACACAATCCCCCCAAATTCTTTAGCATTTTCAAAACTAAGAGTGGTTGATGCACCTAATGAAGGTAAGGCTAAAGTATATCTACAACTGTAAATAGTAAATCAAACGAAACACAAAAGGGTCTGTTGAGAGCACAAAAGTAAATTCACAAACTTTATAAACTGACAACTGAGAAAAAGTTCAGAAAACGCTCAGCTTATACCCAAACCCATTAAGAATCACGCAACTCCTCTCTGAAGTTTCATCCTCTGTTTCCTTGGACGAGGATTAATGGTCCTACATCTCTTAAATGCCTTATGAATGTTCCCCTTGCCTCCCGCCAAAAGCCACCATGGCATCAATCCAGGACATTCGTAACAAGAACACTCCTCAATTTGATGCAAGGGAACTCCTGCGTCACACACGGGACTGTGATTACGAGTGGCTCACCTAGGTGTAGAATAGATGCAGGGTCAGAAAGTGAAATAAATGATGCTGCCTCGCTTTATAAAAGAACACTCTTTAGTTGCTTCAAATAGCAAGGCCTGTGGCATTCTGCTGCCCTGGAGGCAAATCGGAGGTCTTGAACCCAGGTCTTGGCACCCCAGAATCACATCCTTGCCCCTGCTAGACTTTACCTCTACCCTCAGAATTGTCACAGAGCTTCCCCATCGGGACATGCAAAGCTTTTTTCTCCTTTGGGAGTCCCAAAACTACCACTTCCCTGCATATGATACCCTGAACTGCTGCCCCATGCAAGCCTAGCAGATATTCCCTCCCAAGAATACATAAGAACCCATGGAAGCCACCAGAGGCGGAGACCTGCTTTGGGTACCAGGACACGGAGACCACACCTGGCTCAGCCTCCTCTGCTCCTGGCTCTCCAAACACCGCTTCCCCACAACCATGGCACCTGGCACGTCTCTGGCCCAGGAAGAAGGGAGCCAGTTCATCTTCAATCCAGAACCTTCCCCTGTGCTGAGCACCCAGCTGGCACCTGGGCTCCACTCCTACCAGTCCCACAGGGCAAGAGCAAGCCCAGCGCCGCCCGAGGGTCACCAGTGTGATCAGGGCTATCATACCACTTCACGCACAGGGCAACAACCAACACGGGGCCATCCCTCCCCCCTGGCAACCCAAGGAGGCTTCTTTTTGATCAAAGTTAGACTTCTGCTCAGCTTCCTGGTATTTCACAATGGTTGACTTCTCAAAGTAGACTAGCAATTGTCCACACTGGGTAGTGAAAGGTTTTGAGGGCTCCCTACTGTTGGTGACATGTATCTACTCTCAATGTAAATGAGAACCTAGGTAGGGGTTATACAAATAAATGAGACTCCAAAGAGGACTATGGTTTACACAAACACCAGTATGACGAGGCAGGGACAGACGGGGCGTGTGCGTGTTACTGTTGTCATGGAGAGGTGGGCAGAGGCGTCAGTTCCAGGCAAAGCAAGCTCCCAATGGTGACCCTAGTGTTCCTCTATGCCTTGGCTGTGAATCAAAGCCTTGCTTCAAACTCCCCGTGCTCAGACGAGTACTGACTTATACACGCAGGTTCCCAGGAAACAGAGAACTATGCACAGTTCCAACTGCACAGTAGCATCCCTCTAGCAAAGCGATCCGTTCCCCATGTCAGAAGCAAAACCTCACTCCATGCAAGCCTACCTTGTATTTCTTACCGAAAACAGTAGTTGGGTAATGTCCCGAAAAACCTCCCGGTGATCAAATCTTTCTGGAATAAAGCAGAAGGAAATAGAGGAAATTACTTTGGTTTCAGCAAGGATACAGGTGCTCACACAAAACTCCTTCAAGTATAAAAAGTTAAATGAGTGGGAGGCTTTGAATCACCTGTAAAAGTGAACAGATTATAATTCTAATGAGAGGATCAGAAATTACCCTAAACAAATAATTAAAATGTTTCTTTAGCCATTCATGGCATAATTATTGCGTTAAGAAGAACGTGTTGGGCAAATAAAGGGATGGCTTATGTACCATTCTGAAAGGAGAAACCATCTGCATTTCAATGAAGTTCCTCAAAGCCCTTATGAATATGTATTTCTCTGCAACAAAGCTTGACCCCACTGGTTTGCAGAGCCAGTGTTTTATGCTACTTTCTAACTGAGTCTGGAAAGCCCCGTGAGGGTGGGAGGGGAGTGAGTAGGGGAACAGAAAGGAAGGAGGACCACTCTCACTTCTAGGGCCCTGGTCTCAGCCCACCCTTCCTCGTGGGCAAGACAGTTTCATAACAAAAAGGAGAAAGGGGCAGCCAGGTCTCAGGCTCCCCTTGAGCAGAGAAAGCTTTGCAGATGAATGCTAAAGAGGAAGGCCAGTGAACTCAAAGGCTTCGAGGCTAGGTCTTCGGGTTGGATCAGGAATTCATGTCAAGGGCCATAGAGGCCAAGGTGCAGAAAGCCAGGAGAGGAACAAGAGGAGGGGGTTCATTTGCCCTAAATATCATATTTAGGCCGGGCGCGGTGGCTCACACCTGTAATCCTAGCACTCTGGGAGGCCGAGGTGGGCAGATTGCTCAAGGTCAGGAGTTCAAAACCAGCCTGAGCAAGAATGAGACCTCCGTCTCTACTATAAGTAGAAAGAAATTAATTGGCCAACTAATATATATAGAAAAAATTAGCGGGGCATGGTGGCACATGCCTGTAGTCCCAGCTACTCGGGAGGCTGAGGCAGAAGGATCTCCTGAGCCCAGGAGTCAGAGGTTGCTGTGAGCTAGGCTGATGCCATGGCACTCACTGTAGCCTGGGCAACAAAGTGAGACTCTGTATGTATGTATCAATCAATCAATCAATCAATCAATATCATATTTAAATTCCTCTTCTCCCTCCAGTCTGGCTGATGACAGAAAGTTATCAAGGACTTGCTTTTTATCTTTCAAAATGATAGCAATGGCAGCCTCCCCCTGGGGCCTCATCTGTCTGGAAGGGCAGGGCTGAGAACCCGTCATGAAGAGCTGTGCTGGTGGACAGTCCACCTCAACCCGGTCCCAGGCCCTGCAGTCACAGGGGACAGCACTATTCACTGGGGGAAGGAAACAGGGCCCAGGCAGATAACAGCTTCTTCATCATCACAAAGGTTTAACCTGAACTCTGTTTTCACGCTTCTAACCAAGCCTGATGGTCACTCTCACTTCCCTGGGGGCAGACATTTCCAGCAGAGGGTTTTAACTGGGGAGTTTACTCCACCCAAAACAGCCCAGTGCAAAGATGTTTCCATTTTGGCCAAGCCGCCTGCTAAGAGAGCCACAGAGCTGTAATCTGCCTGTCACTACTCAGGGGTAACTTGACATGTTGTTCAGTGTCTTTCCCAGGGTATACCGCCTCTGTCACCTTTCAGGCTCTGTCCCTGCGTGCTTCCCTGAACCTGGCCCTTTGCAAAGAGTCCTCTTCATGACGCCCACGGTGAGCACCACGTGTAAAGCATTTCAATCACGCACACACTTTCCAAAGCGCGTTGGTGTGGGGCTCGCTTCCCCTGTGAACATCAGCAAATCCCTCCACACCGTCAGCCTCGGTTTTGTCGTGTATAAATCTTGGGCAGTAAGAACTACTTCAACCGTGGTTGGGAAGGTGAAATGCAACAGAACCCCTAGAATATAGCCTGGGACCACATTAGCATCAAACAGTATTCCCCTTTTCACCCCACACTTGCCATCTGGGGTCCTCCAACAATAAGCCATTTCTGGGTTGGTGCATGAACTAAAGGTTGTGTCCAGCAGCAAGAACCCTCCACTGGGAGTCAGGAGATGGGACTTCAACTCCTCACTCTGTTACAAGTTAGCTCTGGGACCCCGAGCAGATCAGTGAGAAAGTCAGACCTGCCGGCCCCTGTCCTCTCCAGACATGCCCACCCTTGCTCTGGGCAGCTGTGATCAAGAAGGGCGGCAGGGAAGAGCCTAGAAACCTCAGCCCACCTGCACGGGCTGGAATTCTCCACATAAGCCTACTGGGTCCTCATCTCCCCTCCCTGGCCCCCTGGCACCACCCCGATCCACGCTGGGCCCGTGGTGGTCCCGTCTGCCCTGGAGTCCTGCTCTCCCCACTTGCTCCTGGCCCAGAAGCACCTGGGGGAAAGCCGGGGCCTGCGTGAGGACGGGCTTCCCTGCCCTGGGAGGCCTCGCACCACCCCCTCCCCTGGAGGGAAGCAGCCGCGGTCTCCCGCGGCCTCCCTGAGTCTGGAGTCTGTGTGTCTCCTGAAAGGACAGAGTCTCATTCATCTGCGTCCCGGCGGCCCCCCCGCACGCTCCACACGATCTCCAACAAAGGCACGGAACATCAAAGCGCTGGGAACGCGGCGGCGCACTGTACCTTACGTAAGACCTTTCCATAAGAGGAAACAGGCCCACATCTTAACTTGATTTAGAATCGGTTTTTAAGTGTCTATTTATAGGCTTCACACGACCAGCCCTTGCGGATGGCGGAGGAACTGGGCCTCTGGGCTCCTGTCCAGAGTTTCTCATTTGCATTCTTTTCACGTTTATCTTCTCTAATTTCCCAGCAGCATTTTAACTCAAAAGCAAGGTCACCTACCACTTAGACCCAGCACCACTTTTCTTTGTCTCCAGAGAAAAATATTAATTTTCTTTTCCGTGCAGCAGTGCCCTGTCCCTGCCCTCTCCAGGGCCACCCGCTTGCACTGGCTACAGCAGGCTTGTGTTGTTTGGATGACCCGTGCCTCCCGACAGACAGTTCGCCTTAAAGACATGCCCAAGAAGGTCGTGAGACCCAGGAAGGCCCTTGGGGGGGTCAGCTGGCTCCGAGTCACCACCGGGCCACACACAGTCGGGGAGGGCCAACTCCGTCCCCGCAGCCAGAAAGAATATGAACAATCAAATACGGCTCGGAACACCTGGGCATTGGGGACAGGCCTGACCATTCCTCCATCTGCCAAATACCTTACTCCATGCTCTTTCTGTCCCCTCTGGAGGCAGCGAAGGCCAGGCCACTTCCCTGGTCCTGCCCAGTTATTACTGATTACACAGAAATGCCGGAGCCTGCTTTTCTCTGGCAATCCACAACAATTTTTGTAAAAATCTCCTAATCCTTCTCAATCTTCAGGCTGGAAATTGAGTACACAGATCTCCCACTAAAATACTCTGCTCTCCATGTTGCTTATCCAATCACAGGTCTTCATCTTTGTTTGGGGGCTTGGGGGTAGGCCAGCTTCCCAGAAGGGACGTGCAAATGCGAAGCTGCAGGAGCCCAGGGGTCTCCTCCTCCCGTCCACGTGCTGATACCTGGTTCTCCAGGGTGTGGGGGCTCCCCAGCCCTCCAGCCCTCAGAACCAGTACAGAGAGAAAGGCAGGCCTCGCGCAGAGCCCCAAATCTGCAGTGGAACTCAGATGCAGCAAACACGCCCAGTCAACAGCCCTCAGCTGCCTGACTTCAAATACCAGGCACGAGGTTCGGTTCTCTCGGGAATATTCTCGCTGCAGCTGTTGGCATTTGGTTCCAGGACTGATTAACTTCCTCACAGGATACCACTTCAACCACCATCATAGGTTCTGTATTATGCTACGTGCAAATTTCTGGCAATAAATTGGACCTGGATCAAACAAAGCCTTTGAAATGCCAATGTTTCCAGAGACTCTGGAGGTATACTGAAATGCTAACTATTCCTTAGACAGTTCATAAATGTATTAATTACCTTTGACTTAACAAATCAGGTGAGTTGGGCAGAGGTTCCAGATCCAGAAACAATCCTCGGGGCCCAACGGTGGCCTGAGTGGTTGGAGAGGGGGCCCGAGAGGGGAAGTCACCTAGGCCAAGAGAACCTCAGCAAAGCCCCGACAGGGCAGCTCACAGCAGCCTCCAACCAAAGCAGAGGACGCAGGCCCTGGAGCATAGGCAGGTGTAGGCACAGGGGAATGCGTGCCGGAACCAATCTTTTCACGCATTTTCTTAGTAAAGTTAAGGCAACACTCACAGCATCACAGACTCCCAGACCTGGAAGTTGTCCCAGGAGAGCACCTAGGAGTGAGGAGCAAGGCAGCAGCCAGGTGGACGTGTCCAGCGCAGAGGCAGGAAATCTAGGAGGGGGTGGGAAGTCTGATCTTACCCAGAAACAGAGTGACGGGACCAGCCCTGCCATCTACAATCACATTTCTTCCTCCAGCTGACCCAAGAGCTATGGCTGAATCTCCTTGAGTTAAAATGGGCAACCCTGTGCTTTGTAAGGAGCTGAGCACAGGACACACAGGTTTGGAAAGATCTGGTATGCTGTGCTTCAGTTGTAGAACAGGTGGAATCTGGTGAGCAATAAGAACCCAAATTCAGGGAAACACGTGATGACAAGAGCCTCTGGCCACCATGAGCAGAGGCCCTGGGCTGGGGCTAGAAGGGGTCTGCAGAGCACCATGGCCAGAATGACAGGGAAGGGGCAGCTGCACCCAAGGCAGAGCATCACCTGAAGGCCACAGGTGGCTGGGTCATGGCTCACACTGGTACCAGCCCAGTGACTGCAGCCAGCTCCAAAGCCAGGTATCCACGGGGCTGTCAGCATCCTGGCATGAGGGAAAGCTTAGAATCGAAGTTTATGCCCATGTTGACTTCGTAGACTGACTGCACGGGGCTCACCTCACCTGGCAGAGAGGGGGCTGGGGACCTGGCAGAGGTCATGCATCTGGCAGGTAAGGGCCAGCACGGCAAGGCCCCTGCAACTGGGTCCTGCAGCTCAGCCACGCTGCCCCCAGAGGAATGCAGTGAGATGGCAATGTCCCCA